GCTCGAAGATTTATTACATGTTGGTACCAATTTACAAAATTATTTGTTTATAATAATTTAAAATTTTAGATTGTTTTCCATCGCAAAAAAATAAATAAAAAACTTTATTACGATACCAAATTTGTTTTACACGAAATGAGGATGGGTTCTTCTATTAAGTTAAGCCAGGTTACACAGTTTATCACTGTTTGTATTGGACAAAGTTGTTAGGTTAATTAAAATTATCACAGTGTACAGGTCGCGGCACGTAACTCTAGCACTGAACAAAACGCATCAGGGATAGCTGCGCATGGATATGACTGGAGAGACAATCGCATGCCCACCTGCGCACCTCGTTTCCCCCCAACACATCTTAATTTTTACTTCTGCGCAATAATGGTCAGCGCTAGAGTTTCATGCTGCGACTTATATCAGAGAAAGAGTGGATAGTAATATAAAATATACCCTATGTCCAACACGCTGCAGTTGCACTGGTAGGCACATGTTGCATCGCTCGCAGTGAAAGAACCGGTCGCGGCCTCCCACTCGACAGATGCCGCATCCGTCGCAGTGGTACTGTCGCTTGTCTTCATCGTCAAACAGGTTGCAGATCAGACATGTGTACTAAATTAAAATTAAAATTGTTTATTCAAAAGGCCAGGCATGAATTTTGACAGCTCTGTAATTGCATCGTCAAAGTTTCAATGAAAAGTAAGGGGACTTAACAACAAACTGTCTTTTTCCATATAAAATTTGATGATGACAATATGAGCTGTCAAAATTCGTACTTGAGCCTCTGTTTAGGCTGTTACAAGCACTCATAAATCTCTAAAAGCTACTCCATCAGTTTGCAAATTTGCAACCGGAGACCTAGTACTGAATAAAAACAATTAAAAAAGGGTCTGGAAAAGAAAATTTTAGAAATCTACCTCCCCAAGCATAATTCAAAGTATTTGCAGGCAACATCTTAAAATAACTGCTAGCATTTTGAGCTGGCTACCACTTTAGGAGAAAAAAAAATCCCTAATATTGTTTGCATCCTATTATAGTAATCATTGTATCTATGCCATTACATCAATAAATAAATATTTAAAAGTTTGACATCTGTCACTTTCCTCACTTTAAAGACTTATTTTTTTATCGCAGAAGAATGGACTGACTGGACCCTGATTTTTACCGACGCCTCTAAAACCACCAATGGAGAAGCTGTAGGTGCTGCTGTTTGGATCCCTCACTTTCAAATAATTTTAAGCTTTAAATGCCGCCCAGAACTGTCCTCCTTTTCGGGAGAAGCCATTGCTTTATATGAAGCTATTAAATATATTGAAGCCCATTCTGAAAAACTTAACAAATCAATAGTTTTCACAGATTCCCGAAGTGTTTTGGAAGATATTTTAAAATTCCCTTTACATGCCAGGCAAAATTTTTATATAACTCTAAAAATCCGAGAACTTTTGTTTAACTGCCGTTCTCAAAATATAAATGTGGCCCTCTCATGGATCCCTGGTCATTCTGGCATTAAAGGTAACGAAAAGGCAGACAGCCTTGCAAAAGAGGCTGTAACGATGGGTTGCCCAACCCATGATAAATGCTTTGCCCAAGATCTAAGAAGCAAAGCTAAAGCCGAATCATATCGCGAATGGTCAGCACACTGGGACGACTCCTCACGGTTCAAAGGGAAACATTATAAAAGTCTGCAGCCTTTTCTTCCCTCTAAGCCGTGGTTTTTTAAATACCACTGCTTGGATAAAATCTCCACTTCTACCATTATTCGCTTACGTCTTGGTCACATATGCTCCCCCATCTTCTTAAAGAAAATTAGGGTTAGGGACCATTTGTTATGCGAATGTGGTCTTGACGAAGGAAACGTCGATCACATATTTTTCAATTGCCTAAAAAATACCATCTCTCTTTATGATATACTGCCTAAAAATATCGCCCCTGTGAATGTAAACCACTTACTAACCATGGTGGACTCTCCCTTCATCCAAGTCCTTGCCAAGTATATACACACAAATAAAATTAAATTGTAACTTTTAAAATCCCATTTATTACAAACGCATTTTATAGTTAAGACAAAAATAGAGAAATCCCTCAAGTGACCAATACAAACTTTTAATTATTTATTTATTGAAGTAATGGCATAAATACAATGTTACAACTGTAGTTTGGTGTAATTTGGATACACTCATAACCAAATTTCAGAAGTAAGGATGATTTAGTAAGAAGTTTTATTTAATATCTAAGTTAGTAATGAAACATTTTCCACACTGCTTTACCTAACTTTGTCATACACATAAAGAACTTATTGCTTAGAAATAATTATGTTTTGTTTTTGAGTACTCTTGTGCTCCAGTCCTGCAAAATAGGTTGTAATGGTAGTCTCCATATCCTTTACTGTATTTAAACATATATTTGAAAGACAGTTTTCTATGAGGAAGATGGATCCCTTTAAAGATAATATAATATGATAATATATTTATATAACAAACCTTTCCAAATGTAACTCCACAATTTTCACATTCTGCTTGAACTTTTTGTCGAGTGTCGCATTCTGTGCAGATCAGTTCTGTGACCGACTTCCTGTTAAAGTAGTGTTGTTCATTTTCATCATGGCAATATCGACACATGTAGAACTTGTTGCAGCATGGTGTCTAAAAAATAAAATTTTATGTGCAATATACTTCATTTTCCTCAGTATAGGTATAACTTTAAACATAGCTAGGTTTATAAAATAACTTGAACAGAAACTTAACTAATTTAATTTAATGATAAGTTGTAGAGATAAAAGTATAAATATGATTCATTCAATTCATCCAATACAAAGTTCTTGACATCATAAGGTATTACCTGTTCTTAAAACAGATATTTTTATTAGATACACTAAATAGACTATTTCATGCCTTCATTTGTTTTAAATGTTTCCTACATCCTTGAAATACCATCAAAATATACAAATGTGGCAGTTGAACGACTGCAGATGTAATATATTATATCATTAAAAGTGCTTTTGTCAACAATTTGCCACTTCAAAATTAGTCTTTGTACAATGTTGCCGAAAATACGAGAACACTTGTATCGCGCCGAATTTTGCAGTTCATTGACATGCGTGGCTTTGTTTTTAAGATCGCACATCATCTTAGCACACCTACATCTACGTCGTGTTTGTTTTATATATAGAAAATACAGGAAGCATCACCCGGTAAGAACTCATTTAACCTAGGATATTGATCAATTGGTAATGGTCCATTCATGCCATGATTTAATAACTCACCACAAATTTGGCTCGGCGTTTGTAATGAGCACAACCAACTCGTTTTTCGTTGATGGTTTCGGTTGGATTACCGCTATCATCATTGATTTCTTCTTTTTCCGTGGACATCGTCGATCTTTGAAATTTAAGAATACTGATCTAGTAGATCATACACTTGATAACTTTTCCGATTGCTCAATGAAAATATGCTGTCTAATTAATTATAAAAAATAATAAACCTATTGACAGCTGAACGAATTTTAGCAAAAGAAGCACTGCGACAATTTGTACGACAAACGTCAGTCAGACATTGACAGCGAGGATGTACGTTCTGTACTTACACTCCGGGTGCAATGTAATTTTTACACAATTAATGGTATCGATTCTGGCTGGGTTCTCTAAACCTAAACTTTTTGACAACAGTGTATTCTTGTCATTCTCTATACAGAATGAAAAGGAGAGAATGATGTTAAAGGTCAATGCCCAAAATATGGGCATGCACAACTTTGTCCGACCTTTTGCTAAGCACCTGATTGTCATAGTAATAAGGATAATATTGGTGTCAATTCTGACACGATTCTCTAAACCTAAACTTAAATTTGACAACAGTGTATCCTTGTCATTCTCTATACGGAATGAAAAGGAGAGATTGATGTTAAATTTAGTTTTAAGTTTAGAGAATCACGCCAGAATCGACACCACTATATAGTTATAGGTAAATTTATGTGTTTTTTTGTGCCCTTTTTGTATGTTTTTAATCGAAGCGGGTTATGACTTCGTCACCAATAAGCCTACCAATATATTTAACATTACTATGGTCTATCATAGCTTATACTGTTTTCCAGTATAACTTCATTAGTCCTCAAAAACTGTGTCGCAACTATTAACGCCCACCTCTGAGAGTACATTGGAGTTCCTTAACATACAACAGATATGTCTGTCCATGTTAAGCCAAATTCCATGTGAGCATTGCCCTTTAGTTTTTAGTTTCGAAAATCATGTCAGAATCGACTCCAATGTATGACGTCTTCTTGAATATACAACTTTATGGCCGCACAAACATCAAAACAGCCTTCATAGTGTGCCGCGATTATAATAGAACATCACATTTAAACTTTTCGTGTTAGCACATTTAACAGCAGTATAATTCTATTATGCTGTATAGGCACGGCAACGAAAGAGAGAGACTACTGTGCAAGTTAAGTGGCACTATAAAACATTAATGTCGAAGTTTATGTACGTTGCACTTGGAGTGTAAGTACAGAACGTAACTATAAGCTGAAGTCAAAGCGTTGACCTTTTGTTTTTTTATTCTTCACTTATTATGACAAAGGTAGCGAAATATTCAGTACCATACAAAAAAATATATACCTATTATATTTTTATTTCTGTTTTTAATTGAATCCTAATAATTGATCCATTAAATACAGAGTGCAACACGATCTTGCTGGATCCAACAACTACTGGTCGTGCAACACGATCTTGCATGCACGACAGCGCTATACACACGCTGGATCCAGCAGGATGGATAGTGCTTATGACTTAAGTCCCAGTGTGGTTTCCATGTGGGTTCGGTTATTCGGATAACAATACGAAAATGATAGGGCATTTTGATAAAATTTTAATATCGCTTCTACACTGTATATGCCTTGAATATACTCCATCCAATAAGCATAGCGCCTCAGAACAATCTGAGGCATAGCAAGATTCTTTGTCCAAGCATCAAACATATCCTCTTTCTTTTTATTATTCTTGTACTCGCCATTTGATTTTGTCTGCCATAGATGCCAAAATGTGATAATTTTAACGAACAGTTAATTTTAGTGAATAATTCAAGAAAATGTGCCATACTTAAATGATTTTAAATGTATACCTATATAAAATTTAATGAAATGAACCCATATTTAGTAAAATAGAAAACAGAATACACAATGAAGGTCCTCCAAATTATCGTTTTATTAATAATTTGTCTCACACAAAGAGTTGAGCTCTTGATTCCACCGAAGTTTCAATGGAAAACTATAGATTTTGCATGGAATGGGGATCTAAAGAATGTGGCTATGGCATCTGGCGGATATATACCAGAAAACATTATGCCGACAGGTCTAGCAAGGTGGAAAAATAAACTGTTTATTGCAATTCCTCGTTGGAAGAAAGGTTCGTTTCTTTTGAATAATTACATCAAGGAATGTAGAAATATAAACCTCACGAAGGTGAACCAAAGAGAACTTAAGCACTTAGGCCCGTATTATAGAAAGATCCTCAGTGATTGATCTAGTCTTGAGCGTAGTAAGAAAGGGATGTCGCTATATATAGCACATAGCGATATCCCTTTCTAACTGTACTCAAGTAAAGATCAGCACTTAGTTGTCATTCTGTAATGCGGGCCTTAATCGTCAGCCTATTAATGGCCGCATTGCAGAGGTTGAGGCACGACACGCCTACCCAATGGATGGAATAGGCATCACGCAGTTCCCCCTCACGCAGGGCCGATTGGTGAACGCTAAAGACTGCAGATAGTATTGGTTATACATTTCTTTTATACAGAAACTTGTGCGTGTGCCAATATCTATAGGGACACAAACCGCTTTTCCTCTTGCGGACAAAGAGAGAAAGTTTTTGTCTGGTAGAAAGTATAAAAATAAAACAATATATTTAAATCGTTTATATCCAGGAGTTCCGTCATCATTAAACTACGTGTATCTGAATGGTAGTCAGAGTGAACCCCTGCTGCCGTACCCTAGCTGGAAGGACGCGTTCATACTAGACGATGCGGAGACTATAAACAGCAACGCAACGGTGGTGTCGGCCTTCCGGATGCACGTCGACAAGTGCGACAGACTGTGGGTAGTGGATAACGGCGTCGCGGATATGTCGAGTGAGTACCAGCCAAGTACCCGCAGAAGCACACAAGATTTTAGCGAGTTTCCAGGTTACCGGCTCGGGATGAAATCTTTAACTTGGATTTTAAGGTGGTAAATGTCTGCAGATTTGGACAAATCTCGAGAGGGGTAGACCACTAGCACCTAAATAATCCATTGCCATTTGCAAGGGACACTGACAACACCTCTTTTAGTGTTCTGTGCTGACAACTGAGTCATATTAATAAGGCAGGCGCCAGCTTTAAATGTCTTCTACCGTTGGTGTCGAAGAGTTTTTAAAACGATGCTATGAGTTGGTGATAATGAGAAAGAATCGATGGTGTTGACATAGATGTTTTTATATTAGGTATCAAAGATGGCAGTGATGTCAGTGTCTCGTTGGTTGCCCCCCAAATCAGTGTAATTTAGGGTTTTGGTTTATCTACAGCTGATGTAAAGCAGATTGCTGAGCCAGCAGTGGTGGTGTTCGACTTGAATCGAGACTCAGTTGTGCGCCGCTACGAGATGACGGGCGAGGTGTTGAGAGATTCCTCCGTGCTCACCAGTGTGGTTAGTTGTACCTATAGCAATCATTTTAAGCCAGCAAATAAAGAGAAGTACCCAGAGCTCAGAAAATTATCTACAAATTATGACATATATACAAAAGACCTATACAAAGACTACGACTGTGTTCTGTGATGTTGACGACCTTGTGTTCAAAGTCGTCATAAGGGAACGTAAAAAAATCTACTGCGCCTTTTAGAAGAGGCTGGATGGCGCTAGTGGGTAGCGCGTTGGGTGCGTTAGCAGTTACCAATTGAGTTAAGGTCGGGGAAGTTAAGCAACTGTCCTAATAGCCGATTTAATCGGATGACCAAAAGTTCATTAACTCGAGCTATTCCGTGCTTCGAAAGGATCGGAGAGAACCCGTAGTTTGGGGTCACTAACAGACGCTGACGATGAAGCTTATCCCTGACGCAGGTGGTAGACTTCGTAGGCAAGTCGTGCGACTGCGGCGAGGCATACGCTTACATCACCGACATGGGCTCGAACGCGCTCATAGTGTACAGCTTCAAGGACGACGACGCGTGGCGCGTGGAGAACCATTATTTCCACTTTGACCCTCATGCTGGCGTCTACAAGGTGGGCGGCATCGACTTCTACGGCAGCGACGGGGTGTCTTCAGCGGCGCTTTCACAAGTCAAGAGTGACGGGTTGGTATATGCGATTTAAACTTAACGGCGCAACCGAAACGCCCTATCCTTTTATTGTTAAAGAAAATTCTCTGCAGCGCGGGACACAATACAATACTTACCTACACAAATTTTATTGATAACACCACACCACAATGCATAGAAATATAACAAACAATTAAGTCAACGTAGTATTTCCACAGGCGGTCTTATCGCTAAAAGCAATCTTTTCCTGACACATTTGATTAAAACGAATTTCGCTTCATCATGTTATATTTCATTAATAGGGGTTTTAACCGGGAGTAATCCATGATTGTAGCTACCGAGATCTGTACCTGCATCCTACCTCAAGCACAAAGCAATTTAAGATGTCGACCAAATTGCTTAGACACAAGGACGCACCCGAGGAAGAAATATTCAATGGCGTTCTGGTAGATATATTTTTCGAAAAACTTAATTTGTAGTTAAAAAAATTACTAGGTATGTCGTGTGTCGCAATCTAGGTAAACTCAAAGAACTAGGTATTTAGCGTGTCCCAAATTTTATCGAAATACGTTCAGTCGTTTTTGTGTGATTGAATAGTAATAAATAAACATCCCATACAATAAAGTAAAACTTTTATTAAAACGTCACTTTTTTCTTTTATATCTAGCAAGTCGTATTACATTTCTATTGTAATAAGATTAAGATTAAAATGATTGTAGCATAAATTGTTTTCTGGAGATGGGTGTTAATAGTTGCGGCACCGTTTAATAACTAATGCAATTATTATCGATCACTATTGTCATTGTATCTTTGTTTTGGTTTGAATAAATATTTCATACATTCATTTGACCTTATCAACAAGAATCCGTAGTTCAGTTGTAGAAAGCTTGACTACTACGAGGGCGGCCGGGGTTCAATTCCCAGCTGAGAAAGAACCTTTATGTACGATTGATTTGGCCTTGTGGTCAGAGAGACGTAAACTATAACAAATGTGCCTTTATTTTATAGGTCGTAGGAGAAAAAGGTCCATTTTCACAAGCATCTGCATGCGACTTCGATCCGAAAAATAATGTTCTTTTCTTCACTCAGGTAACGGTAACGAAATTTGATTACTTTTTATCTGTTGTATTTATTTTATTATAAATTTTTTTATTTATAAAAGTACATTAAACAGCCAAAGGCCGCCAAAAATGTACACAGCTGGAATAACATAATGTTAACCTTAGTTACCAAAAAAGAAAACATAAAAATAAAGAAAAAAAAATTGATGAAATAGTCTTCAATCCTAAGTGATGAAACAAAGCGGGCGAAAGGAATGAAAACTTGATATTACCAGAATCAAGTCAAAAAGTCACTAATTGGGTACGAGTCTAATAAACATTCATGTATCTGTAATCAACCAAAATGAAATAAAAACGTGCATAAAATAAACAATAAATATGTATATGTATTTATATATTTAATAATTACAAGGGGGGGGGGGGGGGGTGCAAAGTGTCAACCTCAAATCATTTTTAAATTTCTGTTTTGATCCAAAAAATATATCTATGTCTCTAAATTGGGAATTGTATAAATGTGACACGCGCGTTAGGATAGAATGGTTCCCATATTTTAAATCTGCCTTAAATCCGCGTTTGCCGGCTTATTCACTCACTTTTTTGACATTTAAAGTGTGTGTAAGTCGCGGAACGAAACTCTAGCTTGTGACGAAAGATGTGTTGGGGAGAAACGAGGTGCACGGGTGGGCGTGCGTTGCGCCGATTGTCTCTCCAGTCGTGTACCCATGCGCAGCTATCCCCTCAGAGATTTTGTTCAGCTCTAGAGTGCCATGACCTGTAACTAAAGAGAAAATTGCATGTCCATCGATGCATTTCAGAACAAGTATCTTAGTGGCGTTATAATAAAACAGTAGTGGATCACTAAATTGCTCGGTGATTATCACTTCCATCTGTCAAACGCAGTTAGCGAATAAGCCTACTGGGCGATAGTAATAAGAGCGGGATTCGTAGGGAACAGTAGCCTTGACTATTGATGTGATTTAAAAAGGTTTATCTTACGTAGGTATGCAAAAATGCAATCGGCTGTTGGAACATAGACAAACCGTTTACACCGCAGAACACGCCCACTGTCGTTAGAGACTGCACATTGTTGGAGTTCCCTAATGATGTCAAGGTAATAAACGCATCCACAGAACTCAGAAAGAGGTTAGAAAGGTGATTAAGGTACCTGATACTAATAAGGCCTATGCTGAAATTTGGCCTGTAGTGCAGTAAAGTCTATTAAAATATATTTACATCAAAAAACCTTGTACACATGCATAGACGACAGTTCTACAACTCGGCAAACTGCACGAGCGGTTCGCTAAAGCTCATAGCGTCAGTAGTGGCCGGTACTTTGTGAAGGACGAGCGTTTTCATAGCGCGTTATTAATTTATCGTAATTTTCATCGAATTTTAATACGCTATTCTTTGAAGTTTTGTTTCATGTAATGTATACGGATCACAATATAACTAATCAAAAGGTTAATTGTGACTAAAAATGGATTTTACACTGCTTATAACTTTTCGGAAGTATAATGTACTAAATAAAGCCTACTTTTATAATAGGCCTTATTTCTGACCCTAGGCCTTAATAGAATTTGATCTAGACGCATTTGTATGTCCTAACTGTCAGTAAAACTGATTATATAGTCACCTCTACTGAGTGTTTGTAATTAGGTAGGTCTTATTTGTATCACTTACCTTATTAAAACTGTTTGTACGGGAACCGATATCACCGTCACGTCCTCATTACACTTCCACTTAGTAGATAATAGCCAATCAAATGACGCGACACCAAACAATCGACCAATAAGCGCTCACACCCGAGAGCAACGTTGCAGTCGGGACAAAGTTTAGGTCAAGTTACTAGCACATGGAACATCTTCGCGTCCAAAATACCTCAGTGCCTTAAGACGAAAGTCTTTAACCAGTGTGTGTTGCCAGTGATGACCTATGGTAGTGAGGCGTGGTCGTTTACTATGGGTCTCATAGGACGGCTCAAGGTCGCCCAGCGGGCAATGGAGAGAGCTATGCTTGGTGTTTCCCTGCGTGATCGAGTCAGAAATGACGAGATCCGTAGGAGAACTAAAGTCACCGACATAGCTCGAAGAATAGCTCAGCTGAAGTGGCAGTGGGCGGGACACATAGCGAGGAGAACCGATGGCCGTTGGGGCGGAAAGGTTCTCGAATGGCGACCGCGTGCCGGACGACGCTCAGTGGGAAGACCCGCTACAAGGTGGACCGACGATCTGGTGAAGGTCGCGGGAAAACGCTGGATGCGGGCAGCGCAGGACCGATCGTTGTGGAGATCGTTAGGGGAGGTCTATGTCCAGCAGTGGGCGTCGTACGGCTGATATGATGATGATGATGACTAACTATTGCTCACACATAACTGTGGCGCTTCTGTTAATGATATGTGTAGTACCTCGTGTGCTCTCTATACTTCAGAAGGCACGTTAAGCCCTGGCTGAAACTGCAGTTGTTAGCGTTAACTAATCCGCCGTGAAATTTTCTCTAAACTAGACTTAACGTCATCTGTGTGTATTAAGGTGGATAAAGAAGGCAATCTATGGATACTGAGCGACAGGCAGGCTCGGTTTTTGCATGGTCACCTGGACCCTGCACAAGTAAACTTCCGCGTATTAACTGCGCCAGTGACGAAGTTGATACAAGGCACCGCTTGCGAGCGATCATCGCTTGTCACAAGGGCCTGGAGTGCGCTCAGCTCAAGGAGGAACTCTGCTAAGGCGAAATAGCTTCTCTGCCGTTGCCGTAAGGTTTAAATTCTTCTTAGACCGTGTAAGGCGGCGACTTGGCGTCAAACATGCTTTGGTTGCATAAAATTTGAGTCTTAATACTAATAAATAAATCTTAAATTCCATTTATCGAAGTCCAACTGCACACGCCACGCATACGCCTTGCACCAGCGAAATAAATATAATTTCTAACCATCTAATCTATCTATCATCAAATATCATAATAATCTAACCATGCGTAATAAGACACAATTTTTATGAAAGCAATGCATAATATACCCTACACCCGCACTCCGGCTAGTGTGGGTAGTATGATAAAAACTTAAATTAAACCAAAAAGGGAAGATACGGCACTCGCAGCTGAATAGTGTACCATTTAAATTGTGGTGCATGGACACAATTTACTTTAGCCACAAGTTAATATCCAAACACGATGCATGTGCACTTAATATAACAATATTGCGTATATTCTGTGTTATAAAGCTGAAACAATGCCTTCGATGCTTTTAAACAGAACACAAATATTTTAAGATAACAATAACAACATTTATTCCCAAGAGTCATAGCTTGTCATTTATTTATTTATTCGCGTTTGTTATTAAGAAAAAGACAATACAGTACCCTTAGCACGAACCAATATCGAATTCGTAACGTTTGCGAGTCCGAAGTGTCATTGTCAAATGTGTACTGATTTTTAGTTCTCGGTGCAGACTTTGTGCCACTGCTGTTCAAGTTTCCATATAAAATTTGACATTGACATTTCGGTTTACAAACTATTCGAATTCGATAATGGTTCGTACCCCTAGGTACAGCTCCGTTTGTAGAGAGAGAAAAGAAAACGCAGTCGGTTTTTACCAAGAGACGCGGACTCGCCGTTTCGCTTACGCAGCGTTGAAGTGTACAGTACTACTAGCACGAACCAATATCGAATTCGAATAGTTTGCGAGTGCGAAATGTCAATGTCAAATTTTGTATGGAAACTCGAACAGCAGCGCCACAAAGTACGTAACTAGAACTAAAAATCAGTACATATTTAACAATGATAATTCGTACTCGCATTCGATACGAATTCGATATTGGTTCGTGCTAAGGGTACAGTACCCCTAGCACGAACCAATATCGAATTCGAATAGTTTGCGAGTGCGAAATGTCAAAGTCAAATTTTGTATGGAAACTCGAAGAACAGCGCCACAGCGGACGTAACGAGAACTTAAAATCATTAAACATATTTGACATCGACATTTCGGACTCGCAAACGATACGAATTCGATATTGATTCGTGCTAGGGGTACAGTTCTGTCTCGCTCGCTCGATTGAATGTTTATTTACAGATGTGTGCGTGCGTGAGAGTTGCTTATGTAGTTGAGTCGGATCATATTTTATTTGATGCTAGTATGAGCGTACCGTATCTTCCCTTTTTGTTTTAATCTAAGGATAAAAAGCAAAAAGAAAAACCTGCTGGGTTCTCAGTATTCAGACAAAGTCATTTCAGTAATTTTATTTCCAAAAAAAAACCTTGTAAATGTTAGTTGAAATTCAAAAACAAGTAAATAATTTAAATTTTTATTTAAATATACAACATGGTAGTTATATTAACTATTCAATTAAAAAGTCTATGTGATCGAATAATTAATAACATATTTTGCACGTGTCATCGCCACCGACGTCTCTTCTCTCGTTATGTTTTCGTTCAGATTACAATCTCAGTCTTTTGATAACGTACTTTTAGAGTTCATTGTGAACAAGCCTTTCTGTCATCATTGTACTACAATATTGTGTTTGAAATCGACATGTCCATACAAGTTTGTTTATTGTCTATTTAATTCTAAAATCTTTTTAGTATCTCTAACATGATTTTTAAGGATTGCAACAATAAATTATTATCTATTTATTTCTTTGTTTTACTTATTGTAGTGATAGCAATGTTATATTAAAGATTCTTCACAGTAAATGCATCATCGTATTATTATTCCATTAGATATAAAAACAATAAACGAATACAGGTAAAATACACTTTTTTACCAATAAAAATAACCTTTTTGGGAACTATTTGGATCTTTCGTCCACACGATCTTCCTATTTAAATATGTTTTGTCGTAAAATTCAAGCAACTGTTTAATCTTTAACCTATGTAGTGATTATATCCAAATGAAACATTCCCGAAAAAATATAGAAATAGGTTAGAACACTACAAATTATTGTCTATTCTATAACACAACTACTGAGATCGTTGTAGAACAAGGAGAAACTACAATACGGTATGACAATATTGGCAATGTTACGAAATACATATTATATTCCAGCACTCGACAAAATGAGAATCTTAACAATATATAACTCGTGTAATTAACGTAAGGAATCGCAAATGATGACGTGAGACATTCTGTCCCTCTTGCACAAGCTATCCTAAGTAACGTGTGAACGAGAGAACAGCGGTCATTGCTGCTGGAATCTATAATACGTACGAATTGAATGGTAGTCAATTGCTTGCTCGCTCTCGCACATCGACTACCACTCAATCCGTACGGATTATAGATGCCGGCATGAATATGAGCGTTTGTGGATGACCAGCTAATGTCTTGCGTCAGCATTTTTGATTCTTTTTTTTAATGACACGAGCTGTACCAATTGTCAAAAAAGAAGAGGGGAAACGGTTAGATGATTTTGTTTAAACATACAATCAGAATTGATATCGTAGATCTAGAGGAGAGCTGAATTTGAAATGTATAAGAAGACCAAAATACATTTGTGTTGTTTGTGATATACAAGTCCTTGCACCGAAATATAATATAATGTTAATGATTCCCTACTTTTAATAATAGAAGTATTTTCTTAGCGATTATCTGTGTTTAACACGTATGTCTATTAGTTTAATGCCTATTTTGTAGGGACATGCCTATTTCGTATTGCACCTATTTATGCCCATTTGTGTGCTGCGCGAGTGTGAACCGATAACTGCGAAGCGAATGCTATTAAAGAGGTCTTAATATTTACAAGTAGTTAAGGTATTTATTGCTCAACTTCGTCGTAGGCCATAATTTACAAAGAGCTTGTAGAAAGGATTCACTTTGAAGATTTCTTGTCATAAATCGCGCTGTTTGGGAATCGGTGACGTTTTACTATTGAAATTTACAAACGCGAAAATCTAATTTTTTTAAGCGCGATAGCACGTGACTCCCAAAGGTGCAGTGCAATTACGCCCCATTTGGAATTAAAAAAAAAATGCCCATGGTCTTATGCCTATGGTCCAGGATGTCAGCTAACTCCATACCAAATTTTATTAAAATCGCTCCAGCCGTTTAGACGTGAAGTTAACAAACATACACACTCCCAAACTTTTGCCTTTATAATATTAGTGCGATTTATGTGATGTGTTGACGTTTCGGAGCTGAGGGGAAGGCACGAACAACTAGCGAGAAAGTATTCGTATCGCCATAGTCAAAGTTTTTATGGAAACTAGGCAGCGCCCCTACCGGACGTAATAACAAACTAGCCCCTTCCATAGCAAATTTGACGATGGCGACGCGAATACTTTCTCGCTTCTTGTTCGTGCTCACCCCTCTGTTCACATGTGATTATGTGTGATCACACGACATGATTTTTTATCCAACTTATAGCTGCCAATAATAAATAAAAGTTTTATTCAATGATAATTTAATTGGGGCATACTTTTAATTATATTACAAATGATTATGTACATTTTTTTATATTAGAGGAAAATCTTTTGCTGTTTATGCAGCAAATACAAAAATGTTTGATCTCAAATGTAAAGTTACTATTTCGTAGATCATAAATCATAAAGTTCAAGATTGTAATTATTTCATAAAATACAACATGTTGCATGGGGCATATAAAACTAGCGAAAATTAATCACATTATGGCGTCCATTCTGGCACGATTTTCTAAACTTAAAACTAAATTTAACATCATTCTCTCCCTTTCATTCTGTATAGAGCAAGATGACAAAGATACACTGTTGTCAAATTTAAGTTTAGGTTTAGAGAATAATGTCAGAATCGACATCTACGGAACAATAAAAACATTTCAAAGAAAAAAGCGCAACCGATTCCCGAGCGCTAGTCACAAAGATATGGCAATATAAATTCAGTCCTAGACCAGTATCTAAGCTATAAACATTGGGTGCGTCACTGAGTAACAACTGCCTAGGGATCGTCCATTAATCACATGAGGCTCAAAAAAAGCTCAGAAATAAAATCACTTAATATCAAAAGGGGGTGGAGGGATGTAAACAGATGTCACGTGTATCTATTTTTAATTGAACGTACACTTTTAAAACCACACAGCAGCACGTGATTTTTAATACAGACAGTCCTCGTCGTTTCAGGTTACGCCAAACAATGTTTTGACACTATTCCTCAAGCATACGTCAAATGTTTCGATTTCCGGCATAGGAAAATTCACTTGTCGCGAGCTCAATGTCCGTGGGGATGTCTCGACTTACGTCGTTCCGATTTACGTCGCGTATTTCGAGAACCCAACGTGCCGTAAGTACGAGGACTGCCTGTATATTATTGTAATTTTGGGTAAGGGAGAGGGTTAGACTAGAACCTCACCACACATCAAAAGGAGTAGGGGTTGAAAGTTGCTAAAAAGCATAACGTGATTAATGGATGACCTCCTATCTATTGTCCTACAAGGTCAGCTTGCCGTGGGATATTCTACCTTAGGGCGTTAACTTAGAGTCCATGCACGCGGTCCGGTGCATTATCTCGCGTCCGTACTCTCTTCCGCTTTGTGCTGCGGTGTGGTTTTGGGTTCGAGTCTTTTCTTGAGCGGCGTGTTGTATTCCCAGCCGTCTTCGCCTTTGGGACTGAAGAGCTGTAGAAAAGAAAAACGGGAAGGTGTGAATATTTTTTTCATTCAAGCCAAAGCAAGACCATTCTTCCGGCAGACATGAGAGTTGAGGCATAAACAAGACTATTGTGTTTTGGCGTGTTTGAAACGTATCGGTTTCACACACTTTAGTATGGATGGTTAGACACACATTTTTACACAGTGACTGGTTGGAACTTAAGGGCCACTTTAGAGTAAATTTTGACTAACTATTTAACCCGTCAAAATTTATTAGTAAAATCATAACCTTGGGTGTTTTATTGGGTTGTCACAGATTATTGAAATTATGGTGTAGATTCTGGTATAATTCTCTAAACTTAAAACTAAAATAGACATCAGTCTCTCATTTCCATTCTGTATAGAGAATGACAAGGATACACTGTAGTTAAATTTAACTTTAGGTTAAGAGTATCATGCTAGAATCGACACATATATCTAAGGTTTGTACTCCCTTTGTATAGTGTATAGTCTATCTATAACATAGAGCCCATAGCATGAAGTTATTTATCTATGTGGAAGGATTTCTCACAAGTAGTAAATTGAAGTCAAAAAATAAGGCCGTGAAGTCAGTCACAAATGGTTTTTGTCTCTTTCCATAGATAGAGAAGAAAACAAAATAAGGTGACCATGTTGGAACAAAGTACGTGCAGTCGCCTCGTATGTGTGTGTGTTTAGTGTGACGTCATCGCGTATGTGTGTGCGTATGTAGTGTTTAGTGTGACGTCACCTGCGTGGCCGCGTATTTGTGTGTGGGTGTTTAGTGTGACGTCACCGCGCGCGCGCGTGTGTGTGTGTGTGTTTAGTGTGACGTCACCGCGTGTGTGTGCGCGTGTGTAGTGACGCCACCTGCGTGGCCGCGTGTGTTTAGTGTGACGTCACCGCGTGTGTGTGTGCGTGTGTAGTGACGTCACCTTTGTGGCCGCGTGTGTGTGTGTGCGTGTGTAGTGACGTCACCTGCGTGGCCGCGCGTGTGTGTGTGTAGTGTGACGTCACCGCGTGGTTGAGTGTGTGTAGCGTATCGTCACCTGCGTGGCCCACTTGTCGCCGGCGGTGTCGCGCCGCCCCACGGCGTCGCGCTGGGCCTGCTCGACGGACCTCTTGGCAGCGGTGGCGGCGTCGGTGTCGGCGGCCCTCAGGGCACAGGTGACATGTCGCCACACGCGGCGCGACTCGTGCGGCTGTTGCCGAGAGACGGGCGCGACGCGTTTCCGACGCGGCTTCATGCTGCTCACTTCGAATAGGACTTCGGTGCGCTGCGATGGAAATACATACATCATCAGCCTATTACTGTCCCCACTGCTTGGGCACAGGTCTTCCCTATGGATAGAATAGGGAGATTGGGCCATGACCCACTACGCGAGCAGTGCGGATTGGCTGGTGCTAACGACTGCAGATGCAGCCAGGACCAACGGCTGAACGTGCCTTCCAAAGCACGGAGGAACTCAAGATAGAAGATTTTTGGTCACTCATCTAATGACTGGCCACTGCGCAAGTTGCTTTACTTCAACGATCGCAGCCGAATGCGCTAACCACCCGCGCCATCGAGCTCCTACATAGAGGTATTTTTTTTAGCCATTTAACTGTTAGATGTTTAAATCTAAAGAACATTTTATTAGAACAAATTCTTAATACTTTTACATGTATTCGTTTGTCATTGTAAGTTACATACAATGCGAAGAGATGACGTCGCTTTGCAGCCTCTGAAATACTACAGGAAACACAACACGGCCATTAGGGCTGAGTTAGCATAATGAGTCAGTGCATGCGCCTGGATAGCGGAGGGAAGTAAAATTTTCTTTAGATTTTTACTTTAGTACTTCGTAAGTGACTTTGAGCTTCTTGCCGTCATATAAGCAACCACTTTACTTATCATTAATTAAGAATGATTAACTCACCCCCGTTTCAGTCCATCGTCCGTCCATGCGAGTGTTCCATTCCCCCTGTGCCGTGTAATAAGGCTTCTTGTCCGCACCCGCGAATATTTCGCAAGTGACTCTGTGCTTTTTGCCGCCGTAGAAAGGTTTTGTCAAGAATTCTATGTTGGCCTTGTGGCCGGTCTGTACACACTCGATCACTACGGACCCGCCCAGTTCAATCCATGGCACTGTTAATATCGATCTGGTGGAAGAAGAAAAAGATTTTGTTAAAACTTTCGGAACACAAGTTACAAATACATTATTAAAGGTATTCTTGTTTAATTTTGTTTCGCGATCTGATACTGTGAGTATTGTGTGTCGGGAACAAGCGCGAGTGAATAGTGAGAATGTGACCAGTGGTAGGGGTATCGAACTGAATAAAAGATGACGTCAGAGGGTAGACCGATATGTCTGCCAATAACATCTACCTGCAATTACTTCAGTTACTCAGTGATCATGGCGCTTGCAACAGTGCCGAAATATCGGAGACTCACAAAAAACAAGGTACATGGTAACAATCCCGTTAATAGCTTTAATGTTAGTGACCATTAAAGTTTAAAACAATATATCGTCTGATGTAGTGGCGGTCTAGATGCAAAGGTAGTTGGTGAGCAGTTTCAAACTAACACGCCAGCCATCCTCACCTTGCTAGCCTGTAAAAATGCTTCTTTAGAAAAGTTCTGAGGAACCCTGGGTTGTATGAAGGAAATCAACACGAAGAAAATACAAAGAGAAGCTGTTGCTTTACCCGTTGGGGAAGGTGAGCATATAAGACTAATATAGCCCGATCAGGACTCCCCATAGTCCCAGGAACGTAAAAAACTCGACTCTGCTAACATAATGCACCCTTTTGGTAATGCAAGTGTAATTTTTGACTGTAATGGTGAACTTTTTACTTGTTATAATGTTCTAATTGCTAAGACCTAAGAGGATTATTATTTTGTCAGCAATGCAGATTCCTAAAATGAATTCTCAGTCTAATGAAGACTGGACTAATCTGCTTTAACCTTTGGAGAGGAAGATTCCATCTGGAAGATGGCGATGGACTGTAATCTTCCAAATATCGTCTCTAAAATATATTGTTACCCCAAAAGACTTACCTGCCGTATCCATTGGGGAAGGTCAGGGTATATTCTTCCCCCAAATCCAGGAGGGTGACGACGCCCTTCCCTATATTATGCACGCCTATGGACAGGCCGAGGAACTTGCTTTTCGTCCACACCCACGCCAAGAACTGTATCCGTCTGTTCACGTGTTCCGCGTAGAACGCAGATATTGGTGGGTGGTGGGACACTTGTTCCGCTACAAAGGAGAGTTGTTCTGCCGTACACCAGGGTACTGGGCCGTCGCCTACCTCCTGGGGAAGAAAAAATATGTGTTTCAATATATTCATCATCATCATAATCATCAGCCTATTAATGTCCCCACTGCTGGGGCACAACCCTTCCCTATGGATGGAATAGGGAGTTTGGGCCATGACCCACTACGCGGGCCCAGTGCGGATTGGCGGGTGCTAACGACAGCAGATGCAGCCGGGACCAACGGTTTAACGTGCCTTCCGAAGCCCGGAGGAACTCGAGATAGGACATTTTTGGTCACCCATACAATGACCGACCACTGCGAAAGTTGATAACGATCGCAGCCGAACGCGCTGACCACCTGCGCCATCGAGCCCCTCATGATACAATTATTCAATATATTGCGCGAAAGTAAGAAATAAAAACGACGCTAGACATTCTGCCCCTCTTCCAAATGATGTCAGGAACATAGTGAAAGGTTGACGTATGTCTTCATAAAATTGGTTTATAAATATCTAATCCTACAACTAAATTTAAGACTTGTGTCTCCTTTTCGTTCCGTATAGAGAAAGAGAAAGATACATTGTTCTCAAATTTACTTTTAGGTTTAGAGAATCATGCCAGAATGTGTTGCGATAGTCAATAAATACTTCTTTATCACACAATATTTTATAAATAGAGATCGGGCCATCGGATGCATTTTTGACTAAAGTTATTTTTCGGCTAGCAAATTATGGAAGAGGGCCCCAGACATTTGTGTCAAACTGGATTTATTAGATCACGCGGAGTATACACTTAAATTTTCCCGGAATCACGGGATATTTTCGATAAAAATGTGTTTTCCACAATAGTCAACTCAACACTAGGTAAATATGCATCTGAATATCCGATCTCTACTTATAAAATACTTACAATGGTGGAAAACTGTGTCACTCGAGAAGGGCGGCTGCCACTAACTGGAGTAATTTTAGACTATTGATTCCCTAGGGTCTGGTGTAATATAATAGGGATGATGACTAATTTTTTTTCTTCGTTTATCAGGTAGATTATCAAAAAGTATTGGACACGTATTTTTTCTTTTTTCACATAATATAAACATTGCAGAGATATATTGATTTGAAAAGTCGCATGTAGGGTTGCAACGATATATCGGAATATCGATAATATCGATAATATCGAGACCAAAATATCGATATTTATATCGATATTTGAAATTCACTGATATCGATAATATCGATATCGGAAATTCCAAAATATCGATATTTTGTGGACTAAATTTAAACACAATAATATCAATTGATTTACCTGCTATGACTATCTAAATTGAATAATATCGAAATAACTATTGCTTTGAAATCGCAAGAGCTTATAGATGTATTAAAAAATCTAGAACCCCAAGAAATATACTAAACTACAACAGTGTATCCTTGTCATTCTCTATACAGAATGAAAAGGAGAGACTGATGTTAAATTTAGTTTTAAGTTTAGATAATCATGCCAGAATCGACACCAACGTATATAGGTATAATCGTATACCTAATGGTAACTCATGCATTTAAATAAAATACTTGCCTCTCTTTCTAGATAATTGTCAACTACTGATTAATTAAAATTTAATATCATTGTAATATAACACAAAATAAAATTAAGAATCTTATCTTATACAAATCGTAATTTTTTTAAGCTCGTCAAGCCAAGAAAGTAAGATAGGTATAGTAATTTTGGAAGCTTTGGGCTTACCCTATTCTGAAGCCATGGGCACGCCCCTGATGTGTAGGTTTTACTAATACATAACAATTGTTTTTCATATGATTATCTATTCTGATTTTGGCTGCGTGCAAACATTTTAAACATAAAAAATATCTTTGATTCGAAATTGGTTTTGATTTGATACTTCTTACAGCGCTATAAAAATATAGAAAATGTTGGAATGGCTGATATATCGGATCGGATATCGATATTTACCTGCCCACATTATAAATATCGATATTTCGGAAACCTTTTCTCCCTTAATTATAGGTTTTTGCTTTGCAAACTTAATACAAAGCAAAAAAAAGAAAAAATATCGATATATCGATAATATCGAGTTAAAATGGTCGATATATCGGATATCGATATTTTCCTGACTTCGATATAAATATCGATATAAATATCGATATTTCAGAAGACTTTGCATCCCTAGTCGCATGACGTCACGTTTGAGTACACTTATAAGTGAAAATTCACTCAAAAGTGACGTCACGAGCCCCTACTCCCAAACTTTGACGCGCTATAACTTTGTCATTTTTTGGTTGATTGTCCAAAGAAAAAAATACGTGTCCATTATTTTTTGATCATCTAACTGACGGACTAAATAGAATTTCGTTTACTGTACCCCGTCATCACCCCTATTTGATTATAACACTAGTTCCAAAGAGTTCTATAATAATGTATATTTTACCTTATAACGCTTTTATTTCGATATTCATTGAACATTAATATTTAGGGGTTTTGTCCGTAGATATGTCACCCCCATAATGAATGTCTAAGAATGTTGATAACTACATACTATACAAACTTATCTATTTTTAAGGTAGCTTGAATAAATTTGTACAACAGTATCGCGTCTTTAGTACATGGGTGATTAAAAATACAATTACTAACATCTATATCGTAATTATTAATATTTAGTTTTCTTCTCATTATCGCCGTACGGGTACATTCCATAATAATGTGATAAACATCCTGTACTGCATCGCAAATAGTACAATACGGAGAAACTACTTTTTTCATTAAAAATGCAAAACAATTTATTGGTATGTGTCCGGACCTCAGCCTTGAGGCGGTTATTATGTCAGTTCTGTTTAATTCAGCACATTCCTTGAACCACAGGGACCGAGGAAGTCATGGCTTTATAGTTTTATACCATATTCCTTTCGTTAATGATGTTTCGTCAAAATATACTATGCTTTAAAGTAGTCTTTTTAGGGGTTCCGTACCTCAAAAGGAAAATATAGAACCATTATAGGATCATTTTGTTGTCCGTCCGTCCGTCAAGACCGTTTTTCTCAGGAACGCGTGGAGGTATCAAACTGAAATTCATATCTACTGTCCCTTGGAGCTGTAAAAAAAATCTAAGCCAAAGCAATCAAAAGATAAAGCCGTTTATGCCGCAAATTTTCGAAACTCGCACGGGAATCAAAACCTACAGGGTCCTTCCCGTGAACTTAAAATCTTGAAATTTGGTACGAAGTAACGTCTTATAGTACAGATAAATGAAAAATTGCGAAAACCGTAAATTTTTAGTTACATCATATAATAAATAATATTTTTGAAAATTCAGGTTTGTACGGAAACCTCGGTGCACGAGTCCGACTCGCACTTGGCCGGTTTCTTTTGTATGATGCAAGATATCTGTATGTAATGGTAATCATTCATATTCAATTCTGTCGCTTATTGCTTCTTTTGCAAGGCGATCTACTTCCTCTGTCCCTGCCACACCGACGACCTTGGGTGTATTCCGAAATATACATCAGTATACTGGCCAGTAGTAATAACGTCACGAATCCGACGCCATATTGTACTGGTACGCTACCATATTTTACCGGGAAAACGTATATCACGTATGACCGAGCGTGCGTGAGATGCATTCGAATTTTATTTCTTTTTATTTAAAGAATAATAATGGCATCCGAACAAAAAGATTTACTTTTAATTGATGAGGTGAATAAAAAATCTTCTTTATTCGCATCCTTTTTAATATTTCGTCGATTTATGACGTCAGTGCACTGGCCAATATATTTCGGAACAATTCACCAGTATAGCGTTGATTCATGACGGTATTAGCACTGGCCAGTATACTGGTATATATTACGGAATACACCCTTTGTCACTGATTCTATATAATTCTACTGTGCTGTGCATTTTACTTTTCTGTAAAAACCACCACTTGGCTCTGTTCCACAATTTGCTACAATGCCATATGTTTTGCTAAAGTATCATATAATATTTAGTACTACCTTTTCACTAGTGGAGGCGTTGGTCTGTCCTTCTGGTGCATCCAGGTCCCAGTGGCATCGGAACACTTCACCCAGTATGGGGTTGTAAGGTTTCTTCGCCACCTGTGACTTGCGACCCGCGTGAAACGAACTGAGGTACCATCGTACGACTTGTACCATGCGGTCCCGGGCCGTTGGCTGATCAACTATTCTATTGAAAGAGAATTTATTATTGAAATACGTTTATTTCACATGTAATTAGTCAATAGCATAAATACTATACTATATATTCATTTAAAGGTCTTTGTGTTCGCTTATACAATAAAGTCCCAAGCAATATCCAAGAGTTAGCCATAAATAAATTTAAAGATATTATAAAAAAAACACTTATTAAAAAAGCTTATTACAAAGTGTCTGATTATATTACAGACAAAAATGCTTGGGTTTGAACTGTTCCAATCATTCCAACAGGTTTTCTATATTAAATAAATCATAATTGTATTGACGTTGTAACAACATAATGATTTGTAAATGTTGTTTGCCGCTAGTTATTTATAGTGTTACTTTAGCGGTTCAACAATAAAATCTACATTACTAACCTTAAACTATGGATGATACAAAGTAACAAACTGATTGAATAACTCGCGACTCTGTTTGCTAAGAAAAATTTATTTTTAGTATAAACATTTTCATAATCTGCTACAACTATGATTTTTGCAAGATAAGGTTCATAATTATTATCAAAATACTTAGCTCCTTTTATTATTATACAGATTCAATGTAAAGTAACAAACTGATTGGATAACTCGCGAATCCGTTTGCAAACGAAAAAAAAATTAATATAAATATTTTCATAATTTTAACTATGATTTTTTCAAGAAATAAATGGGTAATATTACTACCCGTTTGCTACGATTTGGCCGTCGATGACCGTTACAAATTGTGCCACGGGCCAATCACAGGCAAGTCAACTGGTATCGTCGACCAATAGGGTTGACTAATAAGGTCTGTCTAGGAGTGCGGTGCAGTGAGGCGGGGAGGGTGGAAGAGGCTAACTCGAAGCGAACGAGTAATATTTGACAGTGCATATTAAAATTTAAAACAAAGGTTATTATTACATAAGAAATTCAAAGATAGTATAAAAAAGCACTTATTAAAAAGGCTTATTACAAAATGTCTGATTATATTACAGATAAAAATGCTTGGGTTTGAACAGTTCCAATCATTCCAACAGGTTTACTTTATAAATAAATCATGATTGTATTGACGTAGTAACAACATAATGATTTGTAAATGTTTTTACATCATACTTTTAATGTTGTGGAGCTTATATCGCTTGTCTTGCTCCGCAGCTAAAAAAATATGTCCAATCGAGTGTAAGGCAAATAAAATTTTGGAATCAAAAGTTGTGTTACTATACATCCAATTTTAATAAAGATATATTAATTTCTGATATTGATAGGATTATTAAACATTTATTATAAGAAATAATGAAAAGAAGATCGCACTTGGAAGAGATCCCTACTTTCCTTTCCCACTTTTCGTATTGGGTCATATAAGCGCTAATTTAGTTTGTACTAAAACAATTTAAATATATTGCAAAATATTCAGCAGTTACGGTTTCATGTACACACACAGGTTTAGTATTTATCAAGAATAATATAATCTGGTTTTGTAGGTTTCTCTAGCAATTAACTTTTTGTTTTCGATCGTGGTTTCAAGAAAACAGACTTACTTAACAAACTGTTCTGGATGCGCGAAAGAGTCCGCATACATTTCTAGTAGCGATCGCCTTTCTAGAATAAATGTGGGCAGCACAACCTGTGAATAAAAGGGATAAAATTAAAATCAATTAGAAGGATTTTTTAGAATAATTTTCTCAAGAGGTTGGTTAAAAAGATTTCTTCCAACTAAATATCAACAGCTTGATGGGCTTAAACTTGCAAAATTTAAATTCCGTAACATGTTAATAATTTTGAAAGATGAATTCAGTGTTAACGCATGTTATAAAAAAATAAGTAGGTTGTAATACCAGCGGGCCACTAGTTCGTATTATAATTAAAAAGGTCGGGAGTCTAAAGTGGATATGACTCCTAAAAGTCAAATACAAAATGCTAAAGAACCTCTAAAGCTCCTATATAGATTAATGAAGCCCTTACAACATTTGAGGGCATGCGCTGCGGTAAGCGGTCACACGGAGTGGACTTTCGCTGTACGCGTTTCTTTCATGTTATTTCATCGAGCAGTGCTGCGTGAGGCGGGTCTCCCGTCGCAACGCTGCTGTATGACATAACGTGAAACTGTACACGGAGCAGACGCCCTCTCCGTGCTCCCGCTTAACGCAGCGCAGGCCCTAAAGATTCGAACAATCGGAACACTGACCTTGGTGAGATCCATTCCAATCTTGACCTGCGACAGGAGGTGGGTGACCACTGATCCGTGGTTCTCCATCGAGCCGAGGTCACTGTCCGACTCATCTTCGTAAAGGGCTGGAGAAAAATAAAAGTTTTTTTAGTCACAGGTCGTTATCGCGTTTGCTCTGCGATCATGGAACTTTCGTAATAGTCGGTCATTGGATGGGTGACCAAAAAGGTATCAACTCTTGCTCCTCCATGCTTCGGAAAGTACGTTACGCCGTTGGTCCTGTCTACATCTGCAATCGTCGTTAGCGCCCACCAATCCGCATTTAACCCGCGTGGTGGGCCCATTCTCCGTATGACATCCATAGGTAAGTCATGTGTCCCAGCTGTCGAGACAATAATAGGCTGATGATGATGTATATTCATATATACCTATATATGTCGAAGCGGGCGGCTCTTGGACGTCATCAGGTAGGTTCTCCATGCTTAATAACGAAAAGTGTCTCGTGGGCGATAAGGGAAACGCGCGATGCAATTTAGTGAACTAAATCATTATTAATTAAAAAGTCCAACATTGAAACACTCAGTTCATTGAAACTACTAATTCAAAGAGACTTTTTTAAATTAAATATCTCAAAATCACAAGGAATTAATTTTATATGGGGAACGAATAACGAATTGACCAGGTCGCGCTCTGTCACTGCCAAGTCCAGAATCCTTCTGCCCCCAATACATTCTTTCAAACTTTCAGAGTCTAATGTAAACAATTTTAAGACAAGCTTACAACTGACCCACGGTTACATTCAGTGCCATAGCGATGATGTCACAATCATTCCCATGAAACATTCAACCCTGCGATAAGCACTAACACAAACAAAACTGCTCTGAGAATCAAAGTAATTAAAAATTGCTTAATATTTCTATAAATAGTTCAGTTTTTATCACGATTTCTGTCAGAAATGCGAGTTGAGTACGCCTGTAACTGTTTCTGCTCTACTTTATGTAAAAATGTTGGCATGCTAAATAAATCAATACATGTAATAAAATGGTAGGAAAAACAAAACTGTACATCACATTAGGGTGTGATCTACAATCGATACCGAAGCCTAAAATATAGTTTTAAGAATTTTTGTCTGTTTGTCTGTATGTATGTCCGGGATAAACTCAAAAAGTACTACATGGATTTACTTCAAATATGGCACGAATATCATTAAGAAGTCGGGTCAACATATAGGCTACATATTATCACGCTATCACCTACGGGGAACGAGCAGTGAACCTTTATTTCTAACTAACTCCACGCGTAGAAAGTCGCGGGCGGCCGCTAGTAAATAAATACTAACACCGGTGCCTGCGGGCGCCGACATTTATATTATGACTCAACTTAAATACCTCATAATACTAAGCGGTCAATCAAACAGAAAACTAAATTATTAAGGATAATGTGTGTATTTAACGCACTATTGTGACTGGGTTTATCAGTTGCTTATGTTATGAGATTGATATTGTTTTCATATGGTAAGGGCATTGTATGCTAATGTCCAGGGCGTGACTCATAACAATGTATTCCAGAGGTAGACGTGCCGGGAATTGGGCGGGACTCGACGTCAGGGTTGCCATGTCAAAGGTTATTAATGATAACATGTGTTGCAAGTTTTGTTAATTCGAAATTCAATATTAATTTATTCAAGCAAACGATAAACGACAGGTAATAACGATTGGTTACTTAGTATGTTACCCCAGTATGGTTAGTAAATAAATCATCATTTTTTTAGGGTTCCGTACCTGAATCACTTTGTTGTCCGTCCGTCCGTCTGTCAAGACCGTTTTTCTCAGGAACGCCTGGAGGTATCACACTGAAATTCATATCTAATACTCAGGTCTACTGTCCCTTGGAGCTGTGAACTTCTAAGCCAAAGCAATCATAAGATGACGTTTATGCCGCAAATTTTCGAAACTCGCACGGGAATCAAAACCTACAGGGTACTTAGAACCTTGAAATTTGGTACGAAGTAATGTCCTTTAGTACAGATAAAGGAAAAATTGCGAAATTTTAAAAAACAGAAAAATATTAAAAATGCTAAATGGTTGCACCTCAGCTTTCAGTGAACAAACTTATGAAAAACACCATTGTTTTACGAAAGTTTTACAAAAATGCTTAAGTATTAATCCACTTTAGGGTCGCATGCGCAGCAGATTCAAGGCAGCAAAATCTATACAGAGTGAACTTGAATGGTAAGTGGTCAAAGACAGAACATTACGAATTGTTTCTTTTCCGTCGCTGAATTTCTTCTGGAAATAAAGACTTTTTTATTGTATCACAACCCTATTGTAAGTACTTTACGTGGGTTTAAAGTACCCATTGTTTATAAACTTTGTGACGACAATAAAATGATTTGCTTCTCCTCGACATTATGTAAGTAACTTGGAAAAGTCGCTGAAAATATATCACAAGGATGCAATAATTTTACTTTTTTTACCTGTTTTTTTTGCATTTATACTAATGTTCATAAGGACGAATAATATAAGATTATTTGAAGTAAAAACTCGGATTGATCATTCTGCACGTATATGGGTGTTGTCAAAAGCCGCAAAAACCGGCGGCCTTGTATGATGAGTTATAAATTCAGAGGAAGCGAAAGAGGTTTGTTAGGGCCGTTGCCTGCATTATGCATTGTGGTGCTCTGTTCTGCTCTCTGCTTATTCCAATTGGAACACGGCAAGAGGAAGGAGCCGCTATAGCCGCGCCCGTCTGGTGAAGTATCCTCCGTCTAAAGGTACTATTCCATGCATCGCGATCGAACGCGGCCGCGCGAGGCCTACGACTGTCGTCAGTCGCTCGCGACAATAGTCAGAGTGTGAAAATGTATGGCGCCGCTTCCGAGGCCCGCGTCAGACGCGTGCGGCCGTGCGTGTCTCGACATCCTCAGCGCTCAGTAACATCTTGGATTTCATGGCACAAAAATGTCTAGGAACGCAGGAGAAAAATTTTCGGTCGAGGAAGACGAAATATTAATAAATTTTGTGTCTCAAAATCCAATAATATATGATATGAGTAATGGAGATTACAAAAATTCATACATCGTCATCCTCTTCTACTTCTTCAAGAATGTCAATAGGGGTGATGACGGGGTACAGTAAACTAAATTCTATTTATTCCGTCAGTTAGATGATCAAAAAATAATGGACACGTATGTTTTCTTTGGGCAATCAACGAAAAAATGACAAAGTTATAGCGCGTCAAAGTTTCGGAGTTGGGGCTCGTGACGTAACTTTTTAGTGATTTTTCACTTAAAATGTGACGTCATGCGACTTTTCAAATCAATCTCTGCCATGTTTATATTATGTGAAAAAAGAAAAAATACGTGTCCAATACTTTTTGAAAATCTACCTGATAAACGAAGAAAAAAAAATTAACAGTCTACCTGATACTTATTCATGATTCACTAGATGTTACAATGGAGAATCAACGAATAACAAACAAGCTTAGTAATAAGATTTCGTTGTCCACCTTTCCGTATGGAATCATAAAAAAGACAAAATATCCGGTCGACTCGACAGAGAACATTACAAAATAAGGTCATTCCCTATCTGCATAAAAGTGCGGTTGAATAGGTTAATCTGCGACTGAAACGGATTCGGTCCGCTCATAAAATATGTAAAACGTTCGAGCACGCTCATATCAGATCAGACTGAGCCGACCGCTTCGTTGCGACGTAAAAACCCATGAAAATAGATATGAGGGAGTAGGAATAATAATGTGGGAAAATATTGATAAGTGCTTTCCTGTTTGTGATTATGAGAGTAATGTTCGTTTAGGCTGATCAGCTTCCTCAAGTCTGTTGGTGACAAAAAATGTTTGGTTCGAGGTTTTCTTGCTCTTATTATGTGCTTAGATGGATGTATGATGATATTTAGTGTTGTAAGTACTGTTACCACTACTATTGACTGATATAACTGCTAAATTGAAAAGTAACCCGACGCCATACAACAACATTTCTCTTCACCAAACTTACGACAGAAGAGCCTCACACTAGGCTTCTATCATGTCTCTTAGTGCTTGGCCAGACATACGAGAACGCGCGTGACGTCATTGTCAGTAGTAGAGCGGGCGGTTAGCTCGGAATGGTTTGAGTTGCACACGCCCCGCGTCGTGTGCCGCTTGGGCGCCATTCATTTATCACGTAAGACTGTTTTTGCTACTTTTTAATCCCCTCCCTCCCTATTATAAGAAAATATAAGAATTTGTGATCTTACGTAAGGACTATCGAGATTCCCTCCCACCCCTTGGAAGAAGAAATAAGACATGGTCAACCCCCTCCACCCCTAAATCGTCTTACGTAATAAATGAATGGCCCCTTGCCGTACGCTCACTCACTAGTCACTTGTATTAACGCACTAGAGCTTGATTAGTCGTCCGCGCCGCACACCGCGCCCGCGTGCCCACTATGGACACTCAAATAAGATTTCATAAGTTAGAGTACAACAAGCCGCGCCCGCGTGTTCAATCTGACACCTACCATGACACTTGGCGATAAGTATACAATATTCTTCTATATTACAGCTCTTACTGATCCAAATTGGGCCAGCGGCCGGTTCAGATAAATAGAAAATATCGAGGTAGTTGTGGTAATGGTAAGGTGACACACCGTCATCTGCCCGGGGGTGTGCTCGGAGATGTGGCGCACGCAGGTGCGCCGGCCCCGAAACGCCCCCATAAGGGCGTAGGAGGGTACCGGGGGGTTTTAGTGGAGTAGGATCAGTGTGGCCTTCCGCACTGGTCCTGCTTGAGTAGGGTCGGCACTGTTTCCCGTGCCGGCGAGTCCCACACACGCCGTGCGCCTAGTCAGCGTCACGGTATGGTGCGTAACTGCATTTCCCCTCATCACAAAAAAAAAGGTGACACACCGTCATAGTCAATCTCTCCGTCGCGCGTACGCGGCAGGTCGACGGTAGGCTGCGCCGACTCTTGGTCGGGCGTGCAGATAGATATTAAAGAGGTAGTTGTGGTAATGGTAAGTAATGCATCGTTATAGTCAATCTCTCCGCCACACGTGCGCTGCGCCGATTCCTGCTCGGGCGCACAGATAGATAGGTACGAGTAATATCGAGGTAGTTGTGGTAATGTTAAGTAATGCATCGTCATAGTCAATCTCTCCGTCACGCGTGCGCTGCGCCGATACCTGCTCGGGCGCACAGATAGATAGGTACGAGTAATATCGAGGTAGTTGTGGTAATGTTAAGTAATGCATCGTCATAGTCAATCTCTCCGTCACGCGTGCGCTGCGCCGATACCTGCTCGGGCGCACAGATAGATAGGTACGAGTAATATCGAGGTAGTTGTGGTCATGTTAAGTAATGCATCGTCATAGTCAATCTCTCCGTCACGCATGCGCTGCGCCGATACCTGCTCGGGCGCACAGATAGATAGGTACGAGTAATATCGAGGTAGTTGTGGTAATGTTAAGTAATGCATCGTCATAGTGAATCTCTGCGTCACGCGTGCGCTGCGCCGACTTCTGCTCCGGCGCGGCGCACAGATAGATAGGTACGAGTAATATCGAGGTAGTTGTGGTAACGTTAAGTAATGCATCGTCATAGTAATCTCTCCGTCACGTGTGCGCTGCGCCGACTTCTGCTCCGGCGCACAGATAGATAATATCGAGGTAGTTGTGGTAATGTTAAGTAATGCATCTTCATAGTCAATCTCTCCGTTACCCGTGCGCTGCGCCGACTTCTGCTCCGGCGCACAGATAGATAATATCGAGGTAGTTGTGGTAATGTTAAGTAATGCATCTTCATAGTCAATCTCTCCGCTACGTGTGCGCTGCGCCGACTTCTGCTCCGGCGCACAGATAGGTAGATAATATCGAGGTAGTTGTGGTAATGTTAAGTAATGCATCTTCATAGTCAATCTCTCCGTCACGTGTGCGCTGCGCCGACTTCTGCTCCGGCGCACAGATAGATAATATCGAGGTAGTTGTGGTAATGTTAAGTATGCATCGTCATAGTCAATCTCTCAGTCACGCATGCGCTGCGTCGACTTCTGCTCGGGCGCACAGATAGATAATATCGAGATAGTTGTGGTAATGGTTAGGTTACGCACCGTCATAGTCAATCTCTTCGTCGCGCGTTCGCTGCAGGTCGACTGTAGGCTGCACCGACTCCTGCTTGGGCGCGCAGATAGATAATATCGAGGTACAAGGTGGCGGCACGTAACTCTAGCGCTGAACAAAACGCGGAGGGAATAGCTGCGCATGGGTGCTACTGGAGAGCCAATTAGCGCAACGCACGCCCACCCTCGCACCTCGTTTCCGCCCAAGGCATCTTATTTTTTACTTCTGCGCAATAACGGCTAGCGCTAGAATTTCATGCAGCGACTTACAGTAGTTGTAATGGTTAGATAACCCACCGTCATAGTCAATCTCTCCGTCGCGCGTGCGCGGCAAGTCGACGGTGGGCTGCGCCGACTCCTGCTCGGCCGCGCCTTCCGTCGGACACGTGCGGCTCGCGCTGCAACAAACAAACACAAAGTCAACATTTATTGTAATTGGAAGCATAATACAACTTTCTTGATTTATCCTTATTAATTGTTAGTGTCATAATATAGAAACCGTCTGTCGGAACGTTTGGAATAGTTTAAAATCAAGCTTTTCAATCAAGAGAAGTAGGGCACAGCGGATTTCCCGCGCGAATTGGAGCGCCCGTCTGGGGAAGCAAATGCCACCTTACAGAAATAAGGTATTGAAGTATTTGTGGTCTGTATGATTTTAGGGCTCCGTGAGGTAGGGGATAGGGTTCTGGCCGGCAACGCGAGGTCGGCTGGAGTCGCACACCTTCTGCCACATCATCTATCTTCGCGACAGGACGCCACTAACACTTAGCATCAGATGGGGTGGGGTAATTTCTTGCGCCTGAGAATATTAAAAGCAATACTCATTTTAATAGGGCATTCAGTGCATAAATCATACCAAAGTACCCTATATAACCTGAAGTAAGAAAGTAAAAAGTAGAATCCAAACGCGAACAAAACTGCGTCAAAGAAATATGCCGCTCCAGTCACCCTTTCCCACCACGTGGAGTCCTGGAATACTTCATCAATCATCTTCGTCATTATAATCACCTCATAGTTAAGTTTTTTTATGTTAAAGGGTGGTAAGCCAGCGTATGGCCCGCCTATGGTAAGCGGCCACTATAGCCTAAAGACGCTTTCGATAACAAAAAAAAAACACTGGCACCGTTGTCTACCCTGACAAAATTCCCCTGGAACCCTGGAAATACTACTCACCAACAGAATACAAAACCCCACCACAAACATCACCAAAAGGATAGTGTTATTATACTGTGATATTCTGTTAGTTTTTTTTTTTATATTTTGTTTTATTCACTTTATTCCATTGGTCTGATTTGTGTGGTTTATGTTTTTCGTTTGCTTTATTGATTTGCCAGACCTAGTCCCGAGGTGACGCTATTCCATACGTCCCCGGGGGCTAGGGCTGAGGTCTGTAAGATATTAGAGAGGGTACTTCGGCAGACGAGCACTCCAATTCGAGCGGGAAATCCGGTCTAACCTACCCCTCTCTCAATCCGGTAGGGCAAAGCTAATTTCTTATAAAAGGAAGACTAGTATCGTTCGAGTTAATATAAGTACCATTTTCTTCGACGCATTGCGAGAGCGAAAAACTTTTGTTGTCTTGAATTACTTGACATTGAATATTACTTAGCAACAATCGCCATCGAGCATCGCTGTCAAAACAAGACGAATCGTGAAACATTCAACGCCGCAACAACGAGAAAGCTCCGCTTGAATAAATAAATGATGGATTAGGTTTCAGTCAGGCTCGTCTAATACCCATAATGGATTAAAAAAATTCAGTCCGTGGCTAAATAAAACAATTTAGTCTGGGGATAATTAAAGAAAAGAATGAATTTATTAGTTATACTATTTTTATGTTTTAAGCATTTAACTGCTAGATTTTTAAATCTAAATTGCATGCAGAATAAGAAGTACTAGAGAAAAGTCGACACGGACAATTAAGGCCGCGGTAGCATAATGGTCAGTGCATCCGCCCGGATAGCGGAGGGTTCGGGTTCGAGTCCCGTCTGCTGCGTGGATTTTTTACTAATAAAAAAAAATATTTTTATTAGGGACAAAAATCAAAATTATGTTCTTAACATTCGTTATCATCATTCTTATGGTAGCCATACACACTACGAGAAATCGTTACGATTAGACTGTACCGTCCGAACGGTACCGATAAATCGTAGCGTGTATGTTATAAAACTGCACAGTTTCCTATACGTACGCCACGTACGATGTCAAATTCGTCATTCATTTGGGTCGACCGACATATAAAACGCCCAGCGGAAATGATCCAGAGGAAAAAATCTCTAAAAGCTAGAAAAAATATGGACTTCTGAATGCTAGAAAAAAAATGGACAGATGAATAAAATTAATTTGCTTTAATTGTGGTTACAATATTATTTTAATACAATAAGTCAGAGCGCTCAATTTCCAGCATGGAAAAAAGTTATAAAAAAAAAAGATTTAAAGGGGTTTGGGTAAAAGTGGCTTGATTTTCAAAGTCCGCGGCCATAAATGACTTTTTTTATTGAATAGAACTAAAAATATTAAAAATAAAATATTAGTTATCTCCAAAGTACATAGAAGCCCAGATCTATTTTTTTTAATATAGAATAACCGAAAATTTCATATCATTTATATGAATTTTATACTTTATATATTTTATAAAAATTATATGGTCTGGTGCTAGGAATAAATTAATTTGTAAAAATCTTTCAATATAAAGATCTATCACTTATATAAGTATCTAAAACAAAATTCTAATATCAGTACATTTATATAGAAAATATGTAGGAGCAAAATTTTATTACGACCTAAATAGGATGTGTAATATTTAGGTGAAAATTGTTGGGTGAATTACGGTCAAGGTTTTCTTTAAGGAAATCTCGTTGATTTACGTTAATGCGGCACGCAGCTGGTGTAATACACGTTAATATATATTTGGTCAGCTTGTTATATCAAACACTGCTGACTGTGTTTTTTATGTAAGCCTATAAGGCTATTTAACTAAATAGATAATAAAGATCTTAAATAAAACAGCAGGCCTGCTAAATACTAACTAACAACTAGAAATAAGTCACAGCATTTTTTTTATTCAAATTGGATGCACTATACAACTCTTTTAAATCGTCCATATTTTTTCCCTACCACCAGTTAAGGATAATTTTTTAACTGTGGAGAAAAGCTGGTGAAAAAAAACTTCACAGCGTTAAACAATTATGTACCAATATTCACAAAAAAAAAGCATTTTCCCTGTGCGAACTACATACATTTGCTATTTGAATTCCACGACGAAATAAGTGTTACTATATGATATTTACTTTAAACAAAGGAACATTCTAAATTGATGATACAATCTATACGATGATATTCACCTAGACAATCCTCAATTCTCCTGACATTGACCGCTTGGTAGCAGAGGTATCGATCATGTAATGGTGTTTAATTATAGTAGTTAGGGCATTACTTTTACTAGTAAAAAAAATACATCAAGGCTCTTTTAGAATAACAGTTAAAGGTAAAGGAATAATCAAATAAAAGCCAGGCTGAAAGAACAATATCAAATGAACTCTGTAGGGTATACTGTATGTTGCCAAATAAATTCGGAAATGTGATTCACGATTCTTGACGTCATTATATTATTTTCGTCTCGATACGATTATTTGATTTTACTTTCTATTGATCTATGGTTCTTTGCTATAATTATTTTTCAACTGGAAGAAGAGTATAATGTGCGCTTTTAAATACAACATTGCTTGGGGGCACAGAACTTAGGAATTAATAATTGTCTACGTATATATCTTTAAAGTTAAGGATAAATATTTGATGATATATAAAGTATCCTTTTGCCCAAATATGAAATGAATGGGATGGGGAAAAGTGAAAGTTAGCCAATTAGGCTCTCAGCGCAGGGGCTTGAGTCGAAATCATACTGCCCAGAAATATAACTTAGAATATTCCATGAATTGCCTCGTGGTCCAGTGCCGGTTGGCGAGTGCAGAAGCTCCGAAACACATAGGAGCTCAAGATAATAAATTTTTGGTCATCCTATGGTTCGCCATTGCATTCTGTAAAGCCGCCAGTAGATGTTGGCCGAGCTTAACCCAACGCGAGCGTAGGCAAACTGATGAAAGGCAAGTACCACTGTTCAAACGTTCAGCAAGTTTGAAGAAATCCAAAGCAAGGCGAAGAGGCCAATATAGTAAAGCAACATAGTATAGGCACTATGGAAGTTATTTTTGCAGCATAAGTTTACTCAGCAAATTAAGCAAGCGACACCGAGAGATGAGAAAGCAAGACAAATATTCTGTCTATATGTTGCTCTTCGCTTGGCCAACATGTATAGGTGGCTTAAGATTGCAGTTATTTCTCCAGATAGGCGCTCCAGTTGCTTGCTGTACCTCTCTTGATGTAAACGATCGTAAAAAATCTGCATACACGATTGCTAGATTCTGTCTGTCGGTGGCGTGGCGGCGTTGATTAAGTAACGGAAATGTTAAAACTTCAACACGAAAATCGAACTCAACAATGACGTGCATAGAGGGTGGATCCACTGTGTAGTAACCGCAAGGTCGACAAGGTGTGTGAGTCGCCAGTTGTGTCGCTCAGGGGTTGTCGTTTGACCTTGCCCTTGGCTTGGCGACGATTACTTACGATGGATTTGTCAAGATCTGCGGGCGTGTTACCCATTTCAAATAACATGTGTGACGTGTGTCTACGTGAACTGACAGTTGTAGACAGAGGGCTTATTGTCGGGGCCAAAGTCGCAACCTTGGCCGTTTGTGTTATGATTTAAAGGTTTTTTAGCGGGGTCTGGCTGTTAGTACACCGCAAATATGTATTGCATGCATGGTACAAGGTTTAGCACGTTCTGAAATTATGTCAATAAGCAGTTTTAGCAATGAATGGTTATATCAGATGACCACAAAATGTTATATCTCGAAAGTATCTCTCACCTGCTCCCGTGCATTTAGGACTCCTTTAGCTCAAATTAGTAAAATTTGCTGCTGCGAATAGAAGTGTGGGAAAAAACCATTTGCGGCTAAGTAGTTAAGAGGCCTGGGCAACGCTTTCAGGGCCACAATATGGACCTTGATACTTCAGACAAGTATTGATTTAGTACTAGTCGAGCTTCAACACATATAATCGAGGGGCTTCACAGTACAAATATTACTTTTGTATAGAGTATGCTTAGCTATATATTTTTACTTTTACTAAAACATATACCTTTTGGATGTACACGACGAAAGCGCTTAGTGCGCAGAGTAATTGTAGAGACTCGAGTTTGTTAGTTACCTTTGCATTGCCAATGATGCGAGCAGTACTTTGCGGTATCTCCGAATAAGTACTTCGCGGAGCCATCTCAGAGATGCAAGCAATATTCCACGTAGGACCGCACTTGCGTATTGTATACAACAAGAACAGTTCG